TCAGTGGGACGTAAAAGAATGCCTGCGCTCCTCTGGATCATGTGCTACTGCACAGCAAACAAAACCTTCCAAGCGCCCAATGGTTTCTTAATTCATTTCAACGGTGGGAGCTGATCAATGCACACATTTCTTTGTGCCCCTGGAATTTTGGATTGGGGTGACCATGTACATACCCAAAGGTCTAGAAAGTAAATAGACCTGACTGCTTTTCAGATTTCTATACATATATATATAAACTGTGTAGTTAACTATAAATAGTATTTATAGTATGGGTCTGGGTCCCAAGAGGCCATCCAGGTACAATTGCTTATTGCTGTTAACAAAATCATACCTGATTCATACCATAAATGCCTTGTTTCTCAGAGTGTCAGAAGTAAATTAACAGTGATTCAAGATGACTGCAGTCTGCGAAGGCTTCCTACAACTTGGACTCTGTTCAGGATGTCTGGAATTAGTGGTTTTTAAAAAACGTATTGTAGAAGAAGAAAGCAAAAGCAGCAGTAGCCTGTGTGCTCTAGAATGGAAAAAAAAAAGCCCTCTGGTTTGTGCATAACCGGAGGATGGCGACGGCAACTGTGACAGTGTTAACAAGACTCAGAAGGTTACCGTTGCCAAATACTTGTGTCCCTCCCTTGAGAGTCTTTAAGTAAGATGAGACGTCTTCAGCTAAACCCCCTAACACTTTTGAAAACCGTCATGTAATGCCTGGAGTCCGGTGCTGTGTTAGGTCTCGCAAAGCCACTTCTGATTCCTTAAGCAGTTTAACTCTTTTGGAACAAAGAAGAAATCTCCCACTACCAACCTAAGTCTCAGTACTCTGGCAGCTGTGTATGCTTTGTGTGAGTGTGTCTTGCTCTCTGTAGCATGGCTAACTTATTCAAGCTATTGGTTTATAAACTGTTTCCAGTGTTCCCTCTAAGTTGAGTTAGTGTGAGCTAGCTCACAGCTTTTTAGCCTCCGGCTCACACATTTTTGTCTTAGCTCAGGAAGGAGGACTCCAGAGCAAACTAATTTACGCAGTAGCCAAATTGCTCACTCACAACTTTAATGCCAGGAGCTCACAAAGTAGAATTTTTGCTCAGAAGATTCCATAGCTTGGAGGGAGCGTTGACTGTTTCTTACATGAAGTTGTCTGTACCATCTGTACCATCGGTATCTTTTATACAGGCAAATACAGGTTTAAATTACAGAGAATGGAAATACAGTAGAGGCTGCATCCTCCTATGCACTCTAAATCTGAAGTAAGTCCCATTTAAACAACTGGTCCTTACAAAGCACAAGTTGCCAGTCCAAATGGGGAAGGAGGGATTTGTAAGCCCATAGGATGAAAGGGTTATGGTGGCAGTCCTATTTCTCACTTGCTTTTTCTATAACCTAGGGTTATCATTCCTCTGGTAGAGACAGAGGATCCCCTGCCCCTAGTTCACACACACACAAACAACCTTTATTGGCATAACAAGGTAGGATACAACAAAACACCGAGATTCGAGGGGAAAATAGAAAAGACTACATAAATCCTCCAAAACAAGTGGTGTAGCAGAAACTAAGTACAGTTGGATCTTAACTAAGAAGAGTAGGCACGTAATCTGAGCCTTCGGGGTAGGGCGGGATACAAATGTAAATATAAATAAATAAATAATCTGCCCCTTTTGGTTTCTTTCTTTTTTTCTTTTACCACTTTTGGTTTCTATCTCTTTTGCTGCTAGGGCCAGGAACTCCACCACCCGTCCGGTGACTGAGGAGCGTTTGTCGGCTAAAAAAGGTTCTATCCGTTTATTTAACATAAGATTGGGAGCTGGGAGAAGTTCCTATTGACCACTACCCCTTGGAATGGCAGCAGGAGAAACATTTTATATAAATGGCAGTGGCATGAGCACCAGTACTTCACTTCTGGTGAAAATGTGGAAGCAACATGGGATAACTCTAGAAATCTCTGGAAACTCTATGGTAAAACCATAGAGCTTCCAGCAATTCCTAGAGCTACCCTACCTCACTTCCAGGTTTTCACTGGAAGTTATGTCGAGGCCCCCCTCCCATGTCTCCACTTTCATATTTGCTGCTCATTCTCGGCCACTGCCTGGCAACCCTAGTATAACCCAACATTCACATTTTGGTCCAGGTTCAGAGATCCAGTTTCTGAGGAAGAAGCAAAGTCTTAATTTATCCAAGCAACTTCATGTGGACATCATAAGAAACTGGAGTGTGACTGAATACTTCTGAAACCAGGAAGTCCTCCATTGTGTTTCACTTGCAAAGGGAATAGGGAAGGAGCATGCATGCACAATCTGGTGCCCATGGCTACAGATCTGCGTGAATGCAAGATGGAATCTGAGGTGGCACCTCAGATTGTATATTGTTTTATTGGTTTTACCGGCAATTGGTGCCATCACTGTAAGCTGCCCTGAGCCTACTTGCGGGGAGGGCGGGGTATAAATGTAATAAATAATAATAACAATTTGCATTGGCCCACAGTGGATGTCCCAGATGACATTATTTCTTTCAGAGGCAGCTTTCAACCTGATTGGCAGTACTTCCCATGGAGGTGTGGTTTCATCAACCCGCTATATGTCATACCTGGGAAAAGACTAAACCATATGCCTCCCTACGTTTTTTTTTTTTTTTAAATAATGCACTTGGGATGCAAAGATGAAATCAAGCAACCTATGGATATAAGCCTGGGACCTCCACTAGACCAAGAGCTTCAAATATGTATTTATACCTTGCTTTGCTCCCCAGTGGGGACCCCCCCCCATGGCTTACAACATCATTCTCCCCTCCTCTGTTTTATTCTCAAAACAACCCTATAAAGTAGGTTAGGTTGAGAGTATGTAACTGGTCCAAGGTCACCCACAGAGCACCCACGGGCAAGTGGGGATCTGAGCCTCGGTCTCTCAAATCCTAGTCCAATGCTTTAACTGCATGACACATGTTGATACACGGTGCTACTGAGCTAGAAGTCCAAAGGCTGATGTCAGACCTGGCCCAGGTCATGCCTACAGAGTACAGATGCCTTGAACACTTCCTGTGAAACACTCCAGTTACCCGGGCTAGGAATGCAGCCATATAGACAGGACAGCTGCAACAAGGGGCCATAATGAATGGCAGTGTATCAGACTAGGGCTAGCTGTCCAGGGAGGAACTGCAGTGGAAGCGTTTAGCTCTGGATTTATACTACCATTACTATTTATAGTCTGGAAACTTAAACAGGGCAGGTTAATGGCAGCTGGAGATGATATCATACAGGGGACCTGGCAAACAAAGCAACGAGGAGGCGAAAAGTAGTACAAAGAGGCCCACAAAGAGAAATGCACCAAGGCAAAAAGACACTGGAGTAGAGCTCCGAGGACCAGTTCACATCATCGCTGTATAGAACATATAAAGGTGTGTCTTCTCCTAAGACTGAACTCCATCTGCCTGGCTCCCCTTTCTGCCTGGGACTCCTTCCTTCCTTTGTTGGTGATGTTTTTTCTCCACATCTCACATGGCTGCCTCAGACTGAGTCAGACGATCAATCTATCAAATCAGTATCTGTCTGGCAGGGGCTCTCCGGGGTCTCAAGTAGAAGTCTTCCAGTTACCTACTACTTAATCCTTTTAACTGGAGATGCCAGGGACTAAAAGTGGGACCTTCTGCATGCAAAGCAGATGCTCTGCCACTGAGCCACAGTCCCATCTTGCCTCAGTGCTAACCTTTTCTAGGAGGTCTTAGGACCTCCATCCCCTACTGAAGCAAAGCTTGACTGCATCTATGTGGCAACATTTGCTCATGTATATTCCTGTTATTTTTGCCTTCCCTTCCTACTGTAGAATTTGGATAGCAAAGGTCCTTGGGTTCTCAGCCATTTGCACAATGATAAATTTACAAGCCACAATCCAACACACAATTTTGCATACAGGTTTAGCATCTGTTTTTTTCTGAATGTAAACATCATTTCAAAATAGATGAACTTGGTTAAAAGGCCACATTGAGAACACAGCTCTTTTTATCTTACAGTTATGTTTTTTTTAAAAACTAAGGCAGAAGACAAGCCACAAAGCAAATGTTTATTGGTAGTCTTTAAAAACTGACGTTCTTATTTCCTACGGAGCACAAGTGTTGCTGTTCATTCACAAAAATGAATGCATTGTAACATGAACTCCTATTTTTAAAGATAGCAATTATTCCGGTTTTGTAATCTGATGTGCCTCTTGTGACACATTTATCTACCATTAAAATAGCATTTCCCCAAATGTTAAGGTTGGGCTAAAAATGCAACAGAGGTAGGCCAGAACACCCATCCCCTACTCTGCTCTCTAAATTGCTCTCTTAAATCAAGTTACACCCTTGGGAATCTATTTAAGTCCAGTGTTTTTTTTAAGGGTATAACTGTGTTTAAGATTGCAATGTTAATCTATTTGCTCATCTGTGGATTACAGGTTATTAAATCAGAAAGAATAAAGTGAGTCAGCTCTAAGTGCACCTCTCACAGTGCTGCCCTAATTAACAGAGGCAGCACGATGCAAATTGTATGCACAGCCCCCGTCCCTGAAAGGCCAGTCGATCTCAGGCCAAAAGGGAAAGGAGGAGAGCCTTTATCGTAGCCTCGATGTTGTTAGCCCTAATAAAGGGCTGCCCTAACCTGGATGGCCCAGGCTAGCTGGATCTTCTCATCTCACCTGGGAAGCTAAGCAGGGCTGGCCCTGGTTAGTGTTTGGATGGGAGACCACCAAGGATGTCCGGGGTTGCTATGCAGAGGCAGGCAATGGCAAACCACCTCTGAAATGTCTCTTGCCTTGAGAACCCTGTGGGGTCACCATAAGTCAGCTGTGCCTTGACAGCACCTTCCACCCCCAGCAACAAAGGGCTGCATGGTACAGGCTGCGGGGGGGGGGGGGCAGGTTCATTCTTCCTTCTAGGTACGGAGCAGGCAGCTGTGCAGCAGTGTGTGTGTGTGTATGAACTGATCACCCCTCTCTCTATATCATATTAGGGGAGGGGAAAGGATCACAGGTTCAGATTACCTGTATGACCAAGGGGAGACACTGTTGAGATTGATGGGGAGGCGGTACTTCTTATCCACAGCTGACCTGCTTCCCGTCGGGCAAGTGATGTTGTGCTCTTTTTCCAGCGGCTCCAGCTGCAAGGTGTGGTGGAAGGCACTGAGCATGCCCGCTGTAAGCCTCCCATACAGCTGTTCGAGGAGCTCCTCAGGCCGGTCGGCGCAGGCTCGAGTCCGCATGGGGCGTTTGCCCACCTTGAAAGCCTCTAACCCCAGGAGATGCAGTCCGCATAAGAGCGTCCCCACAAGCACCCACACCTGCAACAGCAGAGAAGGAAGCGAGAAAGGATGCTTTGGAGCATGCGCATCAACGTTCTGCAACATTTTAAGATAGTTCAGAAGCAATGCTCCCTCTAAGCTGTGGAGTCTTGTGAGCAAAAATTCTGCTTTGTGACCTACTGGCCTTAAAGTTGTGGGCAAGCGCTTTGGCTACTGCATAAATAAGTTTGCTCTGGAGCCATCCTGAGCTAAGACAAAAATGGGTGAGCCGGAGGCTAAGAAACTGAACTAGCTCACAATAACTCAGCTTAGAGGGAACACTGTTCAGAAGTACAGTCTCCCCCCCCCCTCCCATTTTACAGGGCTTTGGTAGCTAAAGCAGCCTTCTGCTGTTTAAGATTAACCTCAGAATACATGTTCTCTATAATGAAGAAAGGGTACTCTGACACTGAGATGTCCTGTTAGAGCTTAGTCTCCAAAACAATAACACCTGTTATCTGCAGTCATTTTTGCTGTGCACATTAATTGAACCAAGGGAGCACACATTAACAGCACTGAACATCTCTTTTGTATTCAGGTAAGCATCTCCCTTAAATCAAGGAGCTGCGGTGGCTCAAGTGGTTAAGACGCTGAACTGCAGGCTGTGGAAGGTCGGTAGTTCAGCAGTTCGAGACCCGGGTGCCGCATGACGGAGTGAGCTCCCGTCTCTAGTTCCAGCTCCTGACAACCTAGCAGTTCGAAAGCAAGAAATTGCAAGTAGATAAATAGGTACTACTTTGGTGGGAAGGTAACAGCGTTCTGTGCGCCTTGGTGTTTAGTCATGCCGGCCACATGACCACGGAAACGTCTTCGGACAGCGCTGGCTCTTCGGCTTTGAAACGGAGATGAGCACCGCAACCCTAGAGTCGGATGCGACTGGCTTTGAGCAAGGGAACCTTCACCTTCACCTTCAAGCATCTCCCAAGCAGGTGACCACCCCAGCAGTTTGCTGAAGGCTGAGGCACACAGGACTTAATCCAGCAATGGATCTTTTACCTGCATATTGATGGTGTGTGGATTTTAAAACTCATTCATCTGCAGGACCTGATGTTTGTCAGATCAGGTGTCAATATGAATTTGAAAATGCAGTTTACTTTAACAAAGCAGTTCCTAAGTAAGGGAGGCAGTATTTTATCAGCTAAGCGGATGGTTTCAGGGTAAATTCTAGTCCTGCGTACACCTTCATTCCCACGCCAATAATTTATGGGTAACCCGAGCAGCTGAGGCGCCTATTCAATAAGTCCAGCTGGGAGGCATCTTTTTCGCGACGGCAGCTGCGTTTGGTGGTCCGAAGTCTCAGCGACTCGAGGACTTCTGCATCCCGCTTCTCCCTCTCCTTACAGGCGCCTCTGCATTACCACTGGGGGAATATTCCCGAGCAGAACCTCCGTCTACGCTTCCGAGCGAAGCCAGCTTGAGAAGCTGACCAGAGTCCTTTCCCCCAGTCCGCCAGCCCGGGGCGGTTGCCTGGACGGAGCCCTTTGAGGCGTCAGAACGGAGCTATCGAAAAGGTCTCAGTTAAACGCACAGATGCACCGCTACTGCCTGGGACCGCTGAGCAGCCCAAGCCCTTGGCCCCTCCACCGCGCCGGTGCTCTCCCGCCTAGGAGCAAGCGCCGGGGATGTGCAAATCCCAAAGAAATCCTCGCCGAACAAGCCCA